TCTCTCTCTTTTTTTTTATATATATATATATATTATTTAGTTTAACGATTCAATTTCCGAGGGAATTGAGTCAGCTGATTGTATGTGTAGTTTCCACAAGAAGAAAAGCGCGAGAAAGATAGATTTTTCGGTTCTAGTTTTTTTTTTTACTTTTTATATATGTTTCTTTTTTTTTCCTCTTTCTCTTTCTCTCTCTCTCTCTCTTTACGTGTCCTTTGGACGATCGACGAGCTTGCGCTTTCAAGCATATGGTACACATGGCATTAAAATCGATTTAGAAGCGAATAATTCATTGTTGATCTCATTGTTGCCTCTTTATTATTCTTCCCTTTCGGAAGAGTCGAACATCTCGATCGAGAGACGAACCCTTTGCACTCCCAATCGATATTCGAGATAAGGACCTCAACCTAACGCGCCCGACTCGTTACAGACCCTTTCTACTGCCGCTCTACGCCACTCTCTCTTCTACACAATCGCGATCTCTTTCGATCTTCTCACGAGCATATGAGTTTCCAACGAATTATTATTTCGACTTATTTCACAATATCTTTATCTTCAAAAAAGTCAAACCCTCTCTCTCCTCCCCCCCCCCCCCCCTTCCGATTTCCATTGGAAACTGGATCTCCTACCACTAACTATATATATATATAAACTGATCAACAACAAAAAGTCAAAACTGATATCTTTTTTTTTTTTTGTATGCCTTCATTCGTGTATGGGAATAAGTACACATTACGATATATATATATATTCATTGTTCACCTGTGTATGTATAGTATAACATATAATAATGTCTGTATAATATCTATATATGTATATCTTTTCTTTTCTTTTTCTTTTTTCTTTGTCTTTCGTACAAAGCGTATAATGTACGTTCGCCTGTCCGTTCGACCGACCTGTCTGTTGACCGACCGTTGCAAAAAAAAGTAACGAGGAATATAACTATAAAGCGAAACGAGGTTGCGATAATAGTTAGTTAGTTAGCCAGCCAGCCAGCCAACCAACCAGCCAGCCAGCCAGNTGGGAGGGAGGGAGAGTGAGAGTCGTAAGTTCTCGAGGACTCGAGGAATATTTTATTGCTGGGAATGATGTTTCTCTCTCTCTTTCTCTTTCGATTATGAGATTAACTGCATTTCGTTCTTTCTTCTTTCTGTATTAATTTATTAAAAGATATATATATATATATAAAACGATCGAGACTGTACCCCGAATTGAATCGAATTGCACACCATTATATTATTATCTATATATATATATTTCTCACTCACTGTCACACGGCCAATGCTCTGGGTATGTCGTATGCTGGATGGATTAATTGATTAATTGACTTGATTAATTGACTTGATTGATTGATTCAATTAATTTTCGAACCTTGATTGAGACTTGACTTGTTTATTATATATTGCTCTATTCTATCTATCTATCTGTCTATCTATCTGTCACTCTCTGTCTCTCTCTCTCTCTCTCCGTACGATATTACCTATATATATATATATTTGTATATATGTATATATATATATA